TATTAGATCATTGAACGATTTGAAGCGCGACCGCAAAATTTTTGATCGTGCAAAGCAGCTGAAAAAAAAAACGTCAATTTATACTGTAATAAATGTGAGACGTTACTTAGAATAGTCTGACTCGTGCTTATTCCAAGCTTCACATGCATTTTTCCGCACACGTTTGCAGTTGTTTCGATTGCTGGTGATGTCTGAATAGGTGATTTCGATGTCCGGTACCGCAGCAACGTCCCTTTGGTAAGCATCGCAGCTGCTCATGGAAATACGCATGAACAAATCGCTAGAAGACTCAGCGGCGGCAGGCGTTTCAGGGGAACTTGTGTTACTTCCGTCATCATCATGGAACGTCTCGTCAAGAGTATCAGGCGAATTCGGTTGGTCAGAAACAGTTGAGCAGTCTCCACTCAACGTATCCCTTTCCTTGGCAGCGACGACGCTGGAGGTTTCATTCTCATATTTCTCTGGATAAGCAGAAGTTGAGCCGTCACTCTGAACCAAGGTTTCGCTGCCAACATCTATATTTTTCAAGAGCTTTTTCTGCTCCAACCGCGCTCTGTAATCAGACATCAAGGTAACTTCAGATTCTTTAAAATCCGGCTCGTTCTGACTGCTTAAAACGTTTTCCAAAACAGAAAGTTCATCTTCAGACAATGTCCGCAGCAATTCCCTATAAAGCAAACATATTTCAACATAAAAATCAGAAATTATTCACCCCGTCTAATCTAAATTGCAAATATACGACAGATTACTAGGCATCTATCTACGCGATAAAGAGACTGAAAAATGTTCCTCATCAATTTTCCGCCGTCAGAAAATTCTTAAGAATGCAGTACTTTGCTATACTTAATATCGAAGCAGTAGTTTAGCCAGTGACAACTCTTGCAGCCATACGTGTCGAGGAGAGCAGACTTCAATTTAAATGCCTCCCACCTGCCAACAATTAAGCGCTTTCGAAATCTTATGTGCACTTGTTCAATGAGGATCATCTTCTCTGGCAGTAATGCACGTTTCTGTTTTAAATAATTCAATCTTCCTGCTCACTTCGTCATTGTCACCAAAATCGGTTCAGCTGATTCCCAATAATTACTGCCAAAGCGCAAGTATCAATCAAGTTAAAAAACAAATTTTTCCTACAGAGCTTCTGACTTCAAATAACTGGGATATTTTATTCTTCAAACGTTAGAACGTCATCTCTTAAACTGTCCAAACGCTGCTGAATGAAAATGAAAACTAATTACTATTTTTACCGTGAACTTCGTGTAATCCAATATGCTTAAAGGCAATGGGGCAGACGATTGGGTAGAAAATTTGGCGTCAGACTCTCCGCCAAAACACTAAACTTTAATCTGTGTATAGAACATTAGCCAATGACGCCTGGCAAAATATGCGGATAATATAGGAGAAAAAATGCGCTGCAAGAAGCTATTTTGCCTGCATGGCATAACTGCAAATCTGGACTCAAGCGCAGCATGAATTTTTTTACTAGTTGCTAATTCCTCCGAGAAACAAATTGACTCCATCGTCGCAAGGAAAAGAAGTATAAACTATTAGAAATAGTACCGTGTTCATACCGGTGCCCAGCACCGTAATCACACTGTGTACAACACTAGCGCTAAACTCAATGCCAGCTCCCAATGCTGAAATAACCGCCAGCGCCGAGTGCAGTGCCGGTTCCCAACGCCGTTAACAACAAATGTAATGCTCCATCTAAAGCAGTGCCAGCATCTAACCCAGTGATGGCCCTGGCAGTGACGAAACCAAATGCACTATCATACTGATGTAAAAAAAATTCACTAGGTTTCTCAGTCAAAAAAATTATTTTCAATACAAATCCAATGTAATGCATGATTTTTCATATCTAATCTAATTTACCTTAAATCTAAGTGGCACAGATAATTTAAAACACAATATGAGGTATTTTACCCCAACACAGGAGATTTAGTTTTGTCAAAATGAAAAAATTGTATTGTACTTAGTTTATATCTCAAGTTTTGTCTGTCTGTGGTTCCTTACTGAAAACACTGTCGTTGCATGTTAGCGCTCACACATGCAACAGCGAAGGTATTCAAGGAACTGTTAAAGTATGACCTGACCTTCAAACTTTTTCCAAGCGGATCCTCGAGCACAAATGCCTTCTAGTAAACGATTTAACGACTAGAAAACGACAGATCTAGAGTTGTTTTAGGACGGAATTCAAGGCGACAACATCACTGAATAAATCACACTACCTGAATGACGAACTCTGCAGGTGCCGAGGCCAGATACGAAAGTTGAAGGGTCCAAGGCCGGCCGTGGAGAGGTCTCACGTAAAACTTAGTCCTCTGCCCCTCATGGTATTGGAACTATCGAAGGTGCCATTGAACCGCTTACTGTAAGATCTAAGATCGCTGTGGCTTCAAGTCAGGCCGAAGCACCACTAATCAGCTCTTCGACTTACTCCCGACTACTGAAAAATCATGGAAGTTCCCTCATCTGGTTTACATCTGTACTTTGTTGATCTGAAGAAGGTCCACTACAGAATCCTGCGCAACAAGCTAGGGACGTACCTACAAACTGACAGGATAACTGGCGTTACTGCGAGCCATCCAGTCATATATACGTTGATACAAGTATACTGTATATTGACAGCAGGTGCTGCGTCAGAGCAAATGGCGTTAAGTCGAAAACTTGCAGAGTTGTTAATAGTCTCCGCCAAGGGTACGTGTTGTTCCCTCTCTTGTGTGTTGTGAATGAACAGAATACTCAGACGTAGAAAGGACGACGAGTGTATCAGCGTAGAAGATGTAGAAACGAGAAGACTACTGTTTGCTGATGACCTTATTTTGTTGGCATCTTCTGAAACTGATTTTCATCTCTCTCAAACAAGGTTTAGCGGAGGGCGACGTAGTCGGCATACGCTGAACATGTCTAAAACGAAAAATGTAGTGATCGTTTCCCATTCTCCTGTCTGCTGCGTTCTGCAGATGAACGCATAAGCAATGGAACAGGTGGAGAAATTAGGCACGTATGTCAGGTTGATAAAAACTAGGAGCTGATCAGCTGAAAGTACGTAAGCGATAAGCCGAACACCCCAAAGACGGCCAAGTAAACCTGGATCAACTGCCCAGACTCACTTTACCTTCTGTCTAAGGCTCCAGTGCTAGTGCAGAAAAGCGAACGCTTGGAGAAGGGGACTGCCTGACGCTGCTACCACCGCGGTCTGAAAGCATAAGCGGCCATTGAAACTGAAATCGTATATTTCTGAGGACAATTATTAAATTAGCTTTGATTCTCAAAATGTACTCTGCTCGCAGAAGAGTGGATATCTGATCTGTGACTGAAAACAAGAACATTTGCCCGCTGCTCCGAGACATGAAAAAAGAATTTAAGTATTAACCGCCAACTGTAAAATAACTACAAACCTGATTCGCTGCAACAACAGCTTGAACGGACGGAACATTTCGAAAAGTTCACTCAAAGGCTTGTCAACGTTTAGAGGCCCATCCGGGTAAATAAGAAGGCCGCTGAAAATAAGCAGATGTAAACGCATGCGCCGCCACTCTTTCGTTACTTGCCTGATAATTGCTAATCTAGGCAACGTGAACATTATACTGGGATCGAAAATTTCGATTTGCTCCTCAGTGATATAACCTCTCTTCTTTGCCCTAAGCCGGAAAATTCCAAAGTAAACGTAATCAAACATCAGTTTTCAGTGCCTTTCAAGAGTTTCAGAAAACAGCACGTAGACGTCCAAAAGCATGTCATATTCCTTCACAGATTTGACTGGAACCAAAGCGGATACGTAACTTAAAAAAGTAAATGCAAAGGATTATCACTAACTGATAATATATTTTACTTCAACTCGAATTCCGCGAAAGCATGGTCGAAACTTTTTAAGGCATTTTTGAGCTAAAAATACTTTTAAAATGTCAAATATTCATACAGAAATAAAAATACACTATCCAACCTAATCAGTAGAAAAAGAGAAAATGGCGCCTAATCAACTGCGTTCTCTTCAGAGAGAACTTTCCTAGAGACCTAGCAGCAACGGATGCCCACTGTGGGCACAATTACCGGTGCTTTGAATGAGTTTATACACATACCGACAAACAAATTGATCAGAATCACAGCGTTGCAACACGAAAGATTATTAATCAGAAAATCGAGCAACAAAAATCCTAGGAACAAAAATGCCCAAAAGAATGGCTGCTGCGAGTTGCTTAGAAAGTTACAGGATCAGATATTCACTGCAAGGTCGGTGGTTTTTGAGCACTTCTAACCTTATTTTCTTTAGTGACATTCACTGTGACTTAGAGTAGAGTAACATGTGGAGTGACCCTGTGATGGCGACGTACTCTCCAGCGACAGGCATCTGTTACTAACTGCTGTGTGCGCCAGCAAGTATCAGACTTGATTAAAGGTCGTTCAATCAGGCTCTACGTCTACTATCACCATAAGTGAACTGCTTACGAAAATCACCAAAAATACGTTACTTCACATGATTAAACCTGAAAAGACAATCATAGAAACTGCTTAAAAAATAAAAAATTCGGTGCTGCGATACCACTAGACTCGTTCTTCCGTACAATATGAAAAAGTTTAACTTTAAAACAGGACGAATAAAGCAAAAAAGAGAGCCAAAAATACTTTTTTCATACGTTGAATGCCGTTCTATACAGACGTTGCAAGTATGATTCAGTGCTTACAAAAATGAACGTAAAAAATGAACTGATGTTGAACTATCGGCATGAAACTAGGTTCAATTTCAAAAACAATATATGAGAAAGGCAAAACGGTATGAGTACAGAACACACGTTAGACAGCGTGTGACATAGCTAGTTTTCTACAGGATTTAACATCATCACAGATATGAAATTCCGGAATATGGTTCGCTGCCGCTAAACAATGCAACAAACAGTCTTACTGCAGAGACTAGAAAGCAGACCATTACAGGTTATGCTATGATGGTACAATGCATGTTTGCTCGTGTACTTTTGTCCGTTCTGCTTAATAAACAAAGCATCAAAAATTTTAAAATCAACGGTATAAAACATTAAATGTAGCACCTTTTCTGGATAAAAACATGGATTCCTCAAACTCTGCTCTTTGAGCATCTCTCGCAATCGGTCCAACTGTGAGGTGAGTGATTTTGCTAAAGGGCGAATCGCATCACTTTCAAACTCTCGGTCAATAATGTTCGAACCGGCAGCAAGGCACTAAAGCAGTTAATGACGAACATTCAACGAGAAAAATGTTTTATTGAATGCACTTCGGCGCCAAACCAAAGTTGACCGGGAAAATTTTCGTGGAGAATGTCGTCTGGAAATTTTACCCTATAGTCTCGAGGAGCACGATCAGCATCGTTCGGAAAAACTTCAGAGAGAATTTCTTCTACAAGATTCAAGAAACAGAGATAAGCGTGTCTCAGTATTCTCATGAATAGCATTCGCACCGATAATTTGCAATACTCGATCTTGACAGCTGCGAAGCTTGGTGACCAACTGTTGACATCGCTGTGGATTCCTGCGCCCATTAAATGAATCAAGTTCGACAGCAACCGTATTCAATGCCTCGTCGGCATAGTAAAATTTGGACAACGGAAACCAATCGTCAATCTGCAAAAATATTTGCTTACCACCATAAGAGAATACATGCGAAACTTCATACCCGTGGCTTGCACATTAACTTCCGAATGCTAAGCATTGCGAAAACCATTGGCGACTGCTAACCACATCTACCGCTGTCGTTGCTGGAAAAGTAATCATTCAACGACCAAAAAGCTGAAAAAAACATTTTGACCAAAAGACGCTAAGTTGAAATCAGCAGCACCTGCCATTTTAGATAATTCAGTGAAATAGATTTACATTCGCGAAAGAACAAAAAATCACAGCTAAAATGTGATTCATTTTTAAAATAGGCAATTTTAGTTTCAGCATGCATTTTCCGACTGCACCGCAGTCAGACAGAATGACTTGACAAAGCTTAATATTAATTATTCGTTTTCCTTTAATTTACTGGGATACTTCTGCGATATTATCAGTCAGTTGCGAATACCCTTATCCTTTCAGGTCGCGCAGGTAAACACGCCAGACAGTATCTCCAATATTCCCAATCCAGTAAAAGCTTCTAAAAGCTATGGCAGAATATAATCTGATTCTTGAGTGAATTCTTTGGAGACAAATGTTCCAAGTGATTCTAGACCATCCCCGTAGTCTTGGTTGGACCATATTGTTTCTGATACTAATTTATTGATCATTTAACCAACTCTTATGTATGAATAATGAAAATGATGCTTTTCAAAAACTTCATCTAAGAAATAAAACTTGCAAACTTTAGCCAGTTGAAAGGAATACTTGTTGCTGTTATGTAATTGTACATATCAACTGCCAGTCATAAAATGAAAATAAAATCCGTATCGACTACGAAAACAAAAATACTAATCCGTATAACTGAAACAGTAGTCACAACTGTTTTCTAAAATGATTTCAATGAAGACTTTTAGTAGTCATTCAATCGTCGTTCCCGGGAACGGAGCAGTATCGAAAACGGATCTCAGCAAAGCATGCATTAATAGCTAAACAACCAACTGTTTAACGAGTCTAATAAACTAATATCTGTCCCATAACTCTAGATTTCATATTTCATTATTACAGAGAGTTTTGTAATGGCACGAACGGGATAACAATGCATAAAATCATTAACGACAAATATCTTAACGGAAATACCGAGGTCTCTGAAAACAACAACTATGAATAATACACTGACACAAACACAAAAGAAAAATGTTTATAACATATTTTCGATCACTAATATTTTAGTTTCATTACTCTGGCTATTATACATCGAGATTTGCTAAATAAAACATCTAACGACGATATATATACAGATATATACAAATAATACAAATATCTTAGAAAATGCAAAATTTTAAATGGAATAATGGCTAATTTTTTTTACCAGGATCAAGATTTCAGATTACTTCAGCAAACCAATCCTAGCGGGCGGCAAAGAATTCATTGCTATGAGTGGTTCCAGCCCCCAATTTACCAGCTACTTAGAAAACAGTGGGTGATTCCAGCAATCAATACTACAAGAGATAAGTTTCGTGTTATATGTTGTTATTTGAACTTTTGCTCCTTGTCCGACGAAGGTAAATTAGATTATGTGCAACGTACGGCCCACCAGTACAAACTTGATGCATTGGTGGTCACGAAAACTCGCCTCCATGGAAATAGGACGCCTAACCTGCAGGATGAGTGGCTGTTGTGGTGGTCGTTTTGGCAGCAGATTACGCCGTGCAGGTATGGGTTTCCTCTTCTCCCTTGACTAAGTCGAACGGTCATTTCTCTACAGCATGTGTTGGAGAGAATCTTGGTCTGTCCCGGGAATGTCAAATAGGCAACGCTGAATGCTATTAATGAAAAGGAGATGAAAACAGACTGCATCCAGGCATACTATAGTTCTATGCCCTGATAAATGTGTCGAGTGACAGTGACAAATACGCTTTCTACGTTTGTTTTCAGTCGGCTTTTTCCCATCATGGCATCATAATTGCCGCAGGCGACTTCAACGCAAAGTTGCGTATTGTTCAAGCGTATTATTCCGTCACGGCATTGACTATGACAGGCTTCTGCTAAGCTTCAGCACCACAACCTGCTTAATTGTCTAAAGGACTCTTTTTCTTTATAAGCGCATTTATCAAACCACTTGGAAATCCCTGGAGGGAAGCTAACTTAACACTCAACTGGATATCCTCATAAACTATAAATGGCGCAGTTCATTAACCGAGACTCGAGTCTGGCCTTGTGCCTCAATTGAGTCCGATCAAACTGTGGCTTCGACGCCGTTGCCTGACAGGATAAAATATGACGAATCAATCAAGCAAACGTTAAGTACAGAGTTATTTTAATGGAACCCTTAGTGCCCACTCAGGAAGTTGCAATATCGATGAATCTTACAAAGACTTCAAAGAAGTCGTTATTTCCTCGGCGAAAAATTTAGCTAGGGAGAGGAAGAGAACAGCAACACTGCTGAGGGTTACGCAAAAAAACGTAAAAATTAGAGTGCAAAGGAATCAGGTTCAAAACGAGTACTTGCAACATGCTACTGCATCATCGAAGCTAGCTCATCTTCTTGTTCGTATAGTCAATCTGAGCCACAGGCAGGACAGAGAACTTTGCCGAAGCAGAAAATCGGCAAGATCGATAAACCCAGGCAGAAAGGGTGAGTGACGAAAAGGGTTCAAAAGAGTACGACAGTCGTCCGGTAAGCAGGGTAGCGATCTGCCCTTATTCAAAACGCAAAGGGTGACTCTACTGGAGCTTATAAGGAACGACTAAAAAGATGGGCTGAGGATTTCAAGCAGCTATTCAACAGCAACCCTCCAGATTCATCATTTTCGACTGTTAAGTTTCTGCCAACACTTGAAGTTAGTAAAGATCCACGCACAAAACTAGAAATCCAAAAAGCGTTGTGGCACCTCAAGGCGAAGAAGGCCTGTGACGTGGATCGAATTTCTCCGGAGTTAACTAAGCATGAGGAACGGGAATCGTTAAAAAGCTTCATGCCCTGTTTCATCAAATATGGACCTAAAACGTTTGCCAGGAAAATGGAAGTGTGAAGTAATAATCTCTCATGTCAACTACAGTTAACTCCCGGGAAGATTTTATCATGGATTATCCTTTAAAGGCCGAGGCAGGTAAATGATGGGAGACTCGTCCAGCAGGCTTCCGGATGCGTTAATCATGCCGCAAGCAAATTTTTACTCTGCGTAAGATCACTAAGCAAATTCGACGATTTCAGTTGCCTTGGTTTAGCACTTTCCTCGGCTTTAAGGCTGCAATTGATTTACTATATCGTGCAACGATATGAAAAACCTTGAAATGTTATGGGACACCTGACAACGTCGTTTTGGAAGAAATGCACGCAGGAACGCTGTCAAAGCCGAAAGACAGCAATCTAAATAGTTCCTTATTAACTTTAGAGTTCGCGAGGGAGATGTGCCATCGTCTTTGATATTCAACACTGTTCTCGATTTTCTTATCTTGAAATAGTGCTAACCCTGACAAAGCTACGAAACCCCGACAAACCCCGAAAGTCGTATTTCATACTGGAGGCGCTATTCAGGATACTCTGCTAGATATCTTGCTTACCTGAATTACGCAGATCATACGGCTGTGGTGAATAGTGCGGGAATTGCGATGTCACATGATTGATTCCGTATGCAATACAGCTGCGAAGGTCGGCTTCCTAAACGCAGGGAAGTCGAAAGTTATGAGAAAACCGTTCGGTAAAGCTGATCTACATATACAACAGAGGTGAAACACTTCATTGATTCACAGATTGATCAGTTAAAGTATCTTGGCTCCACAGATGACACTGTCCAGCCAGAATAAGAGAACTGCAAAAGTTTCGACTACTTTTGGAAACCTGTCAAATATTTTGGCTGAAACACGAGTTCCAACGAAAATACGCCCCACACATTTACTCGTTCAGGTCATTGTACTTCTGTGGCATGGATATAGTTGTTCTGATGAAGGGTCAAGAATGACGGTTTAACCTAGCATAGCGTTGGCTTCGAAGCATAAATAGGGTTTAATGGCACGTCTACGTAAGGAACGGTTCCATTCTTTTCGGGATTAGATGTAGACATTAGAAAGGAGGTTGCCCAGGAAACTGGCTGAGCATACACCATTTACTTCAGCATACGATATTCTCGTGTGAGATCCATGACAGACGTCAACAAGGAGGTCAGTTAAGAGACTGTTACATGGGGGAACAAGGTAGAGGCAGACTTCCTTTCAGAGATGAATATTTCAATGCAGTAATCGGTGCCTCACAGGAAGTGTCGAAAAGCGATACAGCGGACATCACAAACCAGAAACATTTCGCATATGTAAACCAGTCAAGGTAATATCTCAACAAACATTAACAAAGATATTTCTGAGCGTCTAAGTGATCTGCCTTTATGGAAGAGAATATTTTTCCACTCTACATCACAAGTAACTTTGTATACTAGCAGCAATAACAATTAACTTAAGGATGATTTTAGTTTAAAAATGGTAAGCAAATATAGTTTTTTTGTACAGCTTACGTAAGTATTGACTCTACGTGATCGATCGCTTAAACTGCGAAGAAATGCTAGAAACAGAGAAAACGATGAGGTGCTTTGTGCAAACAAAAAATTTACTCATTTCCCTGCTGAAAAAGTCTAGGTAAAAATAGTCCCGTGATGAATGCAGGGAATATATTTTCACCTCCATCAAACAGGTTGCCCAGTAGTTACGAGAATCAGATCATATAAACAAATTTTTAGTGGAGATATGTGCCCATTCCCATAAAAATAACTACTTCTTGCAACAAAATGAAGTTTATAACTTCTTCAGCATTGACTCATTTCTTGATCTGTAACCATTTTCCACAGTTGAACAATGTATAGAACGATCAATCTGGAAATTATAAGGTCAATGGTTGAAACCATAATCTCCTTTCTTAAAGTAATTTAAATAACGGAACAAAAATACTTTCAAGAAGAATTCAACCCACCTGCAAAACTCCCAATTTTCACCAGCTCTTCCACCTATATAGCATTATCAACAACTGTACGTATGATCATTTCGTGGGTGTTACCATAATTGTTTAGGACCGTTGACAATAAACAAAGACAGTATAACTAATGATCTTGAAGTTAATTATTATAATTCAACATTCAAACCTAAATTTCGTGTAATACTTTACTGAATTATATGAAGAAAACCTGCGATAAAACATCGATATGAATTTATCGTTTAATTGTCTATTTTCTCAAACTTTTATGAGAAGTTATGCTCAGACTGTAAGGCAGTATAATTATGAACTCCTGAATGACATATTCTAAATGCGCCGATCCCATATGTACGCGTTGCATCTGGAAGTAAAGGGACGGTATCATAGATCGATGTCAATCCTGTGATGGAGCAGAATTTTTATCCCTTATTCTGCTAATTTCTGACGAAAACAGGTTTATTATTCGAAGAGCTTATCATTTCGCCCTCATCATCTATCAATCCTCCACTGGTTAATGGAGTTAAGCGTTGTTCTTCCTCGACAGCTATGCTCTCTGAAAAGGTTGATTGGATCATTGCAACATACAGGAGGATTTCCCTTCCTATAAAAATCTTGTTTTCACTTCAAATAATAAACAGTGTCAGCAATTCTTTTTCTTGATTACATAATGCCGCAGATAACGAAGATAACTCCCATAAAGTGAAACCCCCCACGCTCATAAACTTAAACTGGTTAAAGTCTGCTATCGCTGCAATTCTCTGATTCACTAGCTGGTCCGAATGGTTTATCAAAACTTAGCAACAACTTGAATTAAATTAAGAGGCCGCCTTTCACAGCCATCTTCCATGCAAAAGGGATCAATTGACATAATTCGCTTCCATTTTGTTTGCCATGATATTCAACATATCCCAGATCAGCCGATATCCTGAAATACCACTGATTTCTAGAATGAGATTCTAATTCTTGCTAGAATCGATATAGATTCAAAGGGTAACGTTCAGTGGCAAGTGCGAAAAAATCTCTCACTGATGCCGATCTCTTCACTTAAAATGAATCCATTATAGTTTCCATTTTTTGACATTGGCGGCGTATGGTTCCTGCATACATTTATTCAAAAATGGAGAAAAAAACATGTTCAGACACCCAGCAGTATTGTCATTTTTTTCCATCTGTAAATAATGAATTAAAACAAATACGA